GGACTAATTATCCCATTACTAGCAATGTACCATGTCAATTTGACTTCCACGCGGTTCCCCCTGGAAACCATCGTGATAAATTCTTGATAAATTTGTCACGATGGACTAACTGACCGGAGCTCATGCTCATCTTATCATCCTTCACTGGTGTACCGCCAGCGTAAACCGTTAGCGCAGGCGGATCCACCATTTCATTATCATCCTTAAAAAAAAGCCGTCATGACCACGGGTAAACTGAACATCAGCGGGCAGATGGTAAATAAAATTATAGGCAGACATTCGTCTATTTATAGAATCGAAATTTATCGAAATTCGATACTCATCTCAGAAAACTATACTCAGATAGGCGCGATTTTTGTTTTTTTCCTTACCTTTCGAATGTCTGTCTGTTGCATCGACCGAAAGTGAAGAGGTATGCGCGCGCCAGCTATATTATTTCAAATGCGTTTCAATCTTATTTCGTTTTAAATAAGGACTAAATTGGTTAAAAAGTAGTCACGGTTTTGCGTGCACAGATCTGTGACAAGACTGTAATACGGTTTAAGAGTTTTACTCTAATCCTGTAGGCCGCAACTGGCCTTTACAGCTTCACCGGACGATAGGGGTCGAGTGCAGATGGCACTCCAAACCAAAGGAAGGACTTATGGAAGGGCTGAAGGCCAAGTCCCGCCTGACGGATACGACTTTAGTCTGAGAGCACCGCTAGGGTTCGAACCTCGGCTCAGGCCGTCGTAACATCGATCCCCGTTTGAATTGGACGGGGGATCGACCGGGTGGGTGCACAGATCTGTGTCAAAACGTTGGAAGGGTTAATCCCGTGATTTTTCCTAATTTATTTAAATTTTCTTTAAAAGGCGATATAGTATAAATAGATTAAGTGTCCTTACACACGAATTTTGGTGTAAACGATTATATAGTATAGTATGAGATTCAGTTCATCTCCCAGTATGTGTAATAGGGACTCATCCATAAATACGTCACATGTATATGATATTTTTGTCTTTACCCGTCCCCTTCAACATTGTCACAGTTGGACACTTATGAGACTCGTACTCTCTATTTTTTCTCATTTCCCATCCTCTCATGATTCTTTGTCATTTCATCATTATCATCGGCGTATCTATGGATGGAGGAGACTGGCTCCTCTATCCATTAAAACGCCGATGATATTTTATGTAATTTCCCGTCTCCTCCAACTGTGAGTTGGACACTTATGAGACTCTTTCTCTCTATTTTTTGTCATTACTTATTCTTTTATGACATTTCCCATCCCCTCCATCATTGTCACACTTGGTCACATTTATAAGATTCATTCTCTCTAGCGTCGTCACATATTTTGCAATTTTGCTCCAGTGCACCGAATGGAGGTCGCAATTACGTTCACGAAATTGTGTCCTGCGTCCCTTACATCCCTTGTCACACTATGGTGACTCCGCTCCACTGCACCTCCTTAACGTATCATGTAATTTATGAATAAGCCACTAATACCACATACGCACTATATCTTACTAAGATCAGTAATTATTATTAGTTTGTGCCGTAGACTTGAGAATTTTCGTAGTTAACACGTTATAAAGTACACAGGTATTTGTACCCGTTCCGAGGATTTCCACTTATAAGCGTATCACTCACTGCCACTTATGAGGTACTAGAACTCGTTCCGCACATTGCCGTTTAAAAGCGGGGAAGATATTAGTACCCGTTTAAAATAAGTAATTTTAAGTAACACAAGGAAAATATCTTATATATAAAATTCTCGTGTCACAGTTTTCGTTCCCATACTCCTCCGAAACGGCTTGACCGATTCTCATGAAATTTTGTGAGCGTATTGAGTAGGTCTGAGAATCGGCCAACATCTATTTCTCATCCCCCTAAATGTTAGGGGTAGTCCACCCCTAATTTTTTTTTTATTTTAAGGCAAAACAACGTTGCTGAGACAGCTATATATATATATATATATAATACATATATATAATACATATATATATACGGGTACAAATACCTGTCCCGCTAATGTGTTAACTACGTTTACAGTTCTAACTTCGTAAACCATTGTGCAGAGTACAATTAAAATTAAACTTACACGTATATAATGTAAAATTGAGTATTAATATGTATATTAGACAAAATAAGGCATTAAGTATTAAATTGACTAATCGACCAGAATTAACGACAAAAAAAATTTAAAGTGAGTTTAGAATGACTAAATCGCCATATCACTGTAAATGTATGCATTGAGATTAATATAATTATTTTAAAACGCCTTAATATTTTTAATAGCAATCATTTACTTAGAGTCGTTTTCTTACTCTTTATTTAAACTACACAATTTTTAAATTTAAAATACAGAATTCAAAATTTGATAACATGATTATATATGTCACGAAGTTGTTAATAAAAAAATATCTGTTTTTTTTTAATCAACTTATTACAAACATTTGATTTGGTATTACAATTTTTTTTAATTTTATTTGTAATATAAAACATTAATAAAAATATTTAATATCAACTATAGGTATTTCTAGAATTCAACATACTAATTTCTAGATTTCTACATGTGCATCTAATATTTTCTAATCTAACGCAGAAAACTTCTATTCTACTAATCTACTACTGCAATAGGAATTGAGTCACAGAGCAATTAAGAGTAGGTTATATAAGAGTTGGCACCGCACTTTTGGCGCGAAAACATTGTCGAGAAACTTTCAATTTCCATAGACAATATTAGGTTTTATAACAAAATAATAAAATAAAAAGTTACGTAGCATGAATTTTAGCGCGCTTTATTTAAATTTCGAACTACTTGAACGGGAGTCGAAAAGCTAGGTCCAACATGAATTGGCAGCCATATTTGTGACGTCAGACATGTACTAATTTCTACTACATTGAGGAAAAAAGTGGGAATTCTATAGTAGAAATATTACTCTATAATATAATAATATATAGAGAACTTTGTGAGATTGTAGGGGATAATATCTGTATCTACTGAACCGATTTAGAAAATACTTTTACCAATAAAAAGCTACGTGAATTGCGAGTGTCATCTATACATAGAAATAAAATTGGAGTGTCTGTTTGTAATATTGAATTAACCGTTTTTTACAACATGCATATGAATATAAATAGTACAGTACATACAACAAAATATCATTTTTTACAATTTTTGTCTGTCTGTCTGTTTGTTTTAGCTAATCTTTGAAATGACGGGTGTTTTTTTGGTAGATGTAATAAAGAGTAACTTAGGCTACTTTTGTTTTAGTAAAATAAAGATAAATTCCACGCGGAGGAAGTCGCGGGAATAGCTAGTAGACTATATAACATCACGCTACGACTAATAGGAGCTGAGCTACAACGAAAAATGTGGGAACATTGCGTGGTCAGCTAATACAGAATAAGATGGCACTTCAATAATATCAGACAGATATTAAAATCTAACTGTATTTAAACAAGTGATTATTCCCACGCTATATCTACAAGATAGTATTATTTTTCTCATTTATTTAACTAATTAATAAATGTTCAATAATATTTACTAATTTTTATTATTAATACACAGCCCTCATAAATACTTCAGAATATGAATTATAAATTTACAGCCAATTACATTTTGTTATTAAATTTTTTTTTATATAAAATTCTCGTGTCGCAATGTTAGTTACTATACTCCCCCGAAACGGTTTGACCGATTTTTATGAAATTTTATATTCATATTCAGTAGGTCTGAGAATCAGCTACTATTTTTCATAACCCTAAATGATAAGGGTCGTCTACCCCTACATTTTTAATTTATTGACATTTTATTGTTTTATATTGTGGCATTAAAAATACATACAACCCTAAATTTTGACCCTTCTATCACCAACTTATTTTTTAATAGTGATTTTAATTTATATGGCCCAACAACGTTACGAGGTCAACTAGTAACTTATACATAGATAAGTAATTCATTAAATAACATCAGATCATGATTAGATATACAAGTGGGGAGTCAAAATAAAAATTAACACTAAACAAATATCACAGGATCGTATTAGTTTTATCTTCTTCTATTTTAGTTCTCCTCTATTATCTACCTGTTCATTCTTCAATCCGTTTCCCTAAGGTTGCCTTGAAAAGATTGCTTTCAGCAATAAGGCCGCCTTATTGTAACTATACTTGTTGTCGTTTAATATATTGTTTATGCCTGTTTGTTTACTGTGTGTTACAAATAAAGTATAATCTATCTATTTATTATTAAATTAAATCTTTATTAATAGGATGAGAACGTATTCTACTGTGTGAAGGCACGGGGAGGCAACCATTAATTCCCGTCACACGCTGGGGGGAAGGAAGGAGTGAAAGGGAGGGAGAGGGGGATGGAGGGGGGGGGGGGATTTCGGCTTCAAAGTCTAATATGTCTATTAAAACACATTAGAACTATGATGTAAAAGGTTTAAAGTATTTTATACTTCATGAATATGAAGATAAGGTATAAATTGTTATGTTGAGGAGATTACTTTCGGTTTGCTGATGTGTGAAGATATACTAAGGACAGGAAAGTCTTACAGACGTCAAAACTCATGAAATTCGTGTGATTCTTAATCAATTGTCACAAAGACGAGAGGAAGGGGTAATTTCTTAAAATTTGTGTGACGAAATTTATTTTGTGTATGAATTTATGTGTGTATGTATGTAGTACTCATAAACATTTGTACACTAACAACAAGCTCCTAAAGGTACTAAATTTCGTACAACTAAAATGGAATGTACTCAGAGCGTGTTCGATTTTTAAAATACTATACTTTTTTTAATAATATCCTTTTTTTTTGACAAATATATTCTCTATGACTTTGCTACTTGAACTTTCACTAGCTCTGAGTGATCAGAGACAATACTAGACAAACAAACCAACTAGATTTTACAATCTATATATATATAACTCAAAGGTGACTGACATAGTGATCCATCAACGCACAGCCCACACCACTGGACGGATCAGGCTGAAATTTGACATGCAGGTAGATGTTATGACGTAGGCATCCGCTAAGAAAGGATTTTGATTAATTCTTCCCCCAAGGGGATAAAATAGGGGATGAAAGTTTGTATGAAACTTTGTCAAATTTAAACCGATCGGGCTGAGACTTTACATGCATAAATCTACTATGACGTAGGCATCCCCCTAAGAAAGGATTTTGATAAATTCCACCCCAAAGGGGATAAATTAACGCGAACGAAGCCGCGGGCAAAAGCTAGTCAACTAATACTTTCTAGTAGGTAATTAGAGATCAACAAAAGTACTAGAGAAGCATAGATTAAGTAGGTTTTATACATTTCTACCTAAAAATACTCGTATATAATATTTTTTCTATGTTGAAGTACTATCACTAACTCACTATTACCGGCTTTACCATTTAATACTGCATTTTGACAAACTAAACAAATTGTTAATAAATACATATATAGGCCAGATGTTTTTAAATCACAGTAATTGTATTTCCTATTTTTATTTTAACTGGCTAACACATTTTGAAAACATTATTGAATCCTTCATATTTTGGCAGTAACATAGAGCGTACCCTGGTTGTGATGTGGAGGAAGGAATAGAGGTGGGAATGACAGTTCATCTTCGTGAGAAAGACAATTTCTAAACTGGGGCGAGTTATTTTTTAAGTTATGCGTATTATATTGTAATAATAGAGGTTAGATAGCCTTCTCTGTCGCAGACGCATTTTATTTTATTCATTGCGTAATATATTGTAATATAATTCAGATGCTCCTTGTTCCCATCTCCTGCCTTCCTCTCGGTTGCACCCATGGGCAGTGTCAAATTTGCGGTCAAAATTGTTTTGTCCAATTCTAAAACTAGTTTTTAATTTGGAACTCAATAATAATTTCAAAACGTAATTAATCTGATTAATAACTGTAATAAAATATAAATGAACACGGAAATTCAATGTTATACCATAGACTACCCTTTGACCCATTTCCGGTAGGTGGCGTCCATGAGCATAGACACGCCCCTGTCTATGGGCCCCACTATGAGCGGTATAGATGCCAATCCGATACTGACTGTGATGATATTCCTCGCTGCTAGTGGAATTTTGTGGTACCGGCTCAATGTTCTTTGGGAAAAGGCACATAACCTGAAAAAAAATATCTGTTTACCACAAAATCTTATCTCATAGGATTTAGAAGCGACTTTGGCTATGGCGGTCTCATCCAGATTTTTTATGAAATTAGAATGCCATACATGCTTACGGCTCGTCTGATGGTAACTGGCAACTATCGCTTAGGAATAAAAATAATCTACTTTGAAATAATCTTAATATAAGCACTTTTGAATAGTCATATTTTTTGATACGGAACACAGACTCGTAACAAAAACCTTGCGTGTTGCTTCTTTAACAAGGATTAGGCATGCGACAATGGATATAGAAACCACTGCGCACTCAATCTTTTTGTAATCAGATATTGTCAGCGCTACGAGTTTTTAGATATTTTCTACAGAAACATTGTTTAATTATATAGGTAAACAGTACCTTCTACTGGCGGTGCCGCGCCAGCATATAATATTGATGTGTATACATGTGTATATATATTTATTCATGTATATTCTATAAAATATTATAATATTGTTTGCACGGCCAACAACTCATCTCTGCACAACTCATGGTTGCCTGGTAGAAAGTGCCATTAGGTGTTAAGTCCGCCATATGTACTCTTTACTTATGTATGACGTGCATTAAAGTTATTGAAATGAAAAATGAAATGAAATATACAGTTAGCACAGGCGGGTGCACCGTTTCATTATCATCCATTTAAAAACAATGAGTGTACTTTTAATCTTTTCACAATGGATAGGATTATTTGTAAGAATGCCTATTTATTGTAAGACTTACCTGTTTATTGTAAGACTTACCTATTTATTGTAAGTCCAGGTATGATAATCGATGCCAATGTCTGCCAAATGAACGCATCCCCAGTTTCTAAAAGCACCTGTTTTGGACGGCCATCTTTCTGAAATTTCAAATAAATAACAATAAGCATTTTGAGCGTTGTGGCCTACCAGTTGTAGTAAAGAAAAACCTAAATCACACCCAAGGATCGTTATTTCAAATCTGGTCGACACATAAAAAATGTGATAATTTATACTATATATACCGACAGACTTTCCTCAAAAATTAAATATAAAAAAAATTGTCTGCCTATCTGTGTGTTTTTGTGAATCAGTGAAACGACTGAATCTATTTTGATGGGAGTTTCACTCACAGATATCGTGTTTATAAGGAGTATTTTTTTATTGGGGGTTTGGGCTATTGTTCGATGCTTAGACCTGTAGCACTGCGACCTATATAGACCCATCAGGGACAAGAATTGAAGGATATTCTTAGGAGCGATGGTTTTTATCTCCTTGGGACAGAGTGTAAACTTTATAAGTAACACGGAAACTTTATATATATATATATATATATATATATATATATATATATATATAAAGTTTCCCATGGAGGAATTGGCGAGTACCAGCTAGTAAACAAATAAAGCCGTTTAAAATTACAAACAGACACTTTATATGATTTATTTGTATATAATAATAATAATACAGCCTTTTTTCCCAAGTTGGGGTAAATTTTGATGTTTACAAAATGTACCGCAACTGTGTGCGCCTTTTGGCATAGGCCTCCTCCAACTCTCCACTGAACTCTGTCTTCCGCAACCCTGTTCCAGAACGGGTCCAGAGTCAGTTTAATGTGGTCTTTCCAGCATATTCTTTGGCGACTATCTTCTGGTGCCCCTCCGATCGATCCCCCGTCCAATTCAAACGGGGATCGAAATTACGACGGCCTGAGCCGAGGTTCGAACCCCTAGTGGTGCCCTCAGACTAAAGTCGTATCCGTCGGGCAGGAGTTGGCTTCAGCCGCTCCATAAGTCCTTCCGCGGGTTTGGAGTGCCATCTGCACTCGCCCCATAACGTCCGGTGAAGCTGTAAAGGCCAGCTACGGCCAGCAGCATTAGAGTAGTCCGAAAAAAAAAAAAAAAATATCTTCTGGTCCTGTCTCTAGGATACCAGAAAGTCACCAGTTTCTTTGTTTAGATTAGTAAATATTTGCTGTCTACTCACCTGCACCATTTTCCAGCCCTTGTCAACTGTGTCGGTGAGCACGTACGCGAAGGCAACTCCATAGCTGGCTCGCACCACCGACACGGGGAGTACGGGCCGGAACGACTCCCCCACCTCGTTGGAGTACCCTGCGTAGATGGATCTGTTCAGCGATTACTACATCACGCGAGATGAGGGGTGAGTTAACTTTCATATTAGTTGCTTAACAATTTTAAACTTTATAACCCCTCTAACATGTTTCAATATGTGTTTAGATATGATAATGTTCGGAATTTGATCACATAGGGAAGGTCACAACCCTGCTAGAAGTAGTGTCAGGTAACCATAGTGAATATACATATTTTTTTATGTATGATAATGGAATGGTGCACCCGCCTCTGTTAACGGTTTACGCTGGGGAAGCAGTGGAGGATGATAAGATGAACATGAGGTCAGGTCAGTTAGCGCATAGTGACAAACTAAGAATTTGATATGATGGTTTCCAGCATGGAGGTCAACCTGATCTCATTGCTAGCAATGTACCATGTACATTGCTAGCAATGAGATCAGTCCACATTACTAACAATCCCCTTTCCTCCCCCCACAGTGAATATTTGTGGTTTCACACTTGCTAATTCAAAATATCTTTATTCATGTAGGTCTATTACAGACTCTTATAATATGTCAAATCTACTGCTAGTTCGGAATGATTTCAAAATGAGAAGAACTGACAGGAAACTCAGTTTGTATTCTTTTCAAATAAATGTTGTACATGTTTGCAATAATACAGATTCATTTTTAAATTCAAATTTGGAGAATAGAGTGACCACCAGCATATGCTATTGCAAAAATAAACAGTTTAATCGTGTTCGTAACCTGAACAGACCAGGACCCACAAGCAGCACCCTGTCACAAGTATGACGGATGAGGCAGCCATCATTGCACTCAATATAATAATGATAGCAGAATTAGACAAAATAACATAAGTCCATTAAGTAGTTTTCTTATCCTGTAGGTCGTAGCTGAAGTATTATAGCTTAATCAGACATAAATGAGTGAGTGGAGGCACTCCAACCGTGTGGAAACTCATATACTATAGGCCATCTTCTGAAATAAAAAATATTATAGACATACTTTGTGATCCAGCGGTTAAACACACTGCCTTATTTCCGATGGCTGCGGGTTTGATTCCTTGCACAGCACAAACATTGGTATTCATGAATATGAATACCAATTGCGGCTTTTGTATTGATTGCCGCATGCATCCTTATGTAAAGTGCGAATACTGTAACTACCATATAGTAATTTTTGTAGCTGTGACGTGGTCGTGTGGAATGAGTAGTCATGCTCACTAAAATGTCCAGACATGTGGCGGCGTGGTGGGCCGGGTCAATGGGCTCCCTAAAATATGGTCGAGCGCAGTGATGGCTGGCTCATCCGTCATACTCGTGAGCGGGTGCTGCTTGTAGGGACTGGTCTGCTCTTATCACTACGACTGATTTAATCTTATTGCATGATTATATTTGACCCAAAAATTAGTGCTTGTTGGTAGTTTGTATTCACACGTTCCTACTTGTAAATGTAAACTTACAAGGATTATTTAAAAGAGCAACACACAAGTTTCTTGCTCGTTCTTCTTGTGATGAGACAGCTTTCCGAACGAGTGGTAGATAAAAAACAAATTGTTATGACTATTCAAAAGTGCTTAAATTAAGTTTATTTGAATAAATGATTTTCTATTCTATTCTATTCTATTCTATTCTATGATTGTTTCTACTAGTCTGGGTGTTTTCTATGTATGTATTTATGAAAAAAACTATAATAATGAAATAAATATCTATGTATTTGTATTACTCATCTAGTACCCATAACAAGGCTTTGGATGGCGCTGTGTGAATTGTCCTGAGATTATTATTATATGTTATCTTAGTAATATAGCAAACCAGAGAATTTGTGAGTATGTATAGATGGATGGAGTTTAGTTACTTTTATTCACAAAAACTACTGAACTGATTTTGATAAAACTTTACATTATAAAGGCACATAAATCCGAATAACACATGGGTTACAAATATAAAAGTTATTATGTAAATTGGGTAAAATATAATGATAAATGTCAAATAAATGTCAAGCAGACGAGGCTGCGCGTGTCAGCTAGTATATAGGCTAATACTTACCGAGATATCGTACCCAAGAGTCCCGAAATATGTCAGCACCATCTTGAGAAGACATTCTTCTCTTGAATATCAATAATACTGTACGATATCACGAATAAACGAAGCTAATTATTGCAAACAGGAATTCGTATTAAAAATTCAATATATCTTTTAATTAAACCTTCTCTAAATATAAATCGATATATTAATTATAAAACACAATTATACTATATTTAGAGGTATGATTAGGTAACAATTTAATAATAAATGTACACAAAATTTAAACATACATGAAAGAGAAACATATATTTGTGTATTTAATTATAATTGAATTTATCCACAATTTATAACTTCACGACAAATTTATATATTAAATTACACAACGATTTAGATATAAAACAAATATTAAATTGAATTTTAAATATATCAAAGAACAAAAAATTCCAATTAGACTTCAAATTTTGCGTAACTACACTGTCAGTCGTCAAGCTGAAGTGACAGCGGATTGACATTAGTTGACAATGTGACAACAGTGACAGTTTGCCGGTTGCCCTGCTATTAAATATTTTTCTACTATTTTTACATGAATTATAAGCGGCGTGACACCCTTGATGTTTCAGACGTATATAAGCTGCAGTAATCGTTTGCCATCATATGGGCCGTATGCTTGTTTGCTATCAACGTAGTATAAAAAACGAATACGTATCAAAAAGTTGTAATGATAACAATATCTTCAGATTAATTATTTACTATACAAACTGTAATATTTATCTTGCGATCGGAGAATGCCGATAGAGGCGTCTAAAATAATTGTGTCTTTCAGCAAACCACAGGGGTCAGATTCCCACATAATTCTAATATTTATATACGTATAGGGGAAAGGGAATTGTTTGTAACGGGTGGTGGAACCATTGTGGAGGTCTATTGCTAGCAATATTTGCCAAGATAGGTTAACTGACCTCACTTTACGTTCATTTTATCATTCTCCCCTAGTGCCCCGCCGCCAGCGTAAACAGTTAGCGCAGGCGGGAACATTATTCCCTTACCATCCATAAAAAAATATATTAATACTAGTATTCTAGTGCATGTGTTCTATTTAAGAGTGATAATAGTCAACATGCATAATGTTTAAAAGAAACGTTAATAATTAAGTTTTATACTTTATTGTCCCTGGTTTACATTACATAGATGCAAAATAAAATGCGAAAATCAAATTTACGTGATATGAAATATATTTCCTTTAATTAATAAATATATTATATTTCATTGTAACGCGTACTATTTATTGTGCCTATTTCTACCACTTCAGAATTCTTCTCAGTTACTCTAAGGTTGACGGGAAGAAATTCCTCTTTTGGGATAAGTCCATTGTTGTACGTATTTATTATTTAAGTCGATCGTGTTCTTTTATTTATAATTTATATTGTACAATAAAGTATTGCAAATAGAAGATATAATTACAATAAAAATATTATTTGAACTTTAAATTTTAGTTTGTTAAGTTTTCTCAATATTATGAACATTGTTAAATAATAATTACCATATTAAACGATATATTAATTCTCCTTATCCAATACTACTACTATTTCTACCTCATCACTACATTTTATTAGAGTGCAACACAATTTATCCATCACAATCTTATTCCAAGAGTAACGGAATAGACACTATATTCTATTCATTACATTATATCTCTTATGACTATAATCTCAAAGTGTAAATTCATTTGTACTTGAGTGCGATATATGTTACTTCGTTTCCCGTAGTAATATCTGAATATCACCGATCAGCTGTTCACTACCTTCCTGTCAAAGTCATGTCGCATTAGGTTATTTTCGTATCGTCTTTAAATCTAGAATCTCAACGCACAATGTCGAGGACTTTGTGGAGATTTCTCCCGAGTTTAAATGTGTCATTTCGTACTTAAAAACTAAGTGTAGTGAAAGTGTATATAACTGCGCGTAAGTGATGTTTACAATTCACAAAAGTTTACAAACTACACAATAGACTTACTTGAATTGCAAATTTATTTTGTATATACAACCTACCTACTTATAACTAAATGTGTAATTTATATGTCCTATAATTAAACAAGACTAACTGAAGTCGATCGATTAGTTCTCCTTGTCGAGTAGATATTCTGTGCTGGTTGATTTATATATTTCTTTTTGGCTTTGTTTCATTTAGAAATATTTTTCCCAAACATTTTCCCACTCACTAGTGATGTGATGTGAAACTCAAAACAGTATTTATATCGATTTAATACGATACTATGATCACAATTATATTTTGTATCTATAAATATATATGAATCTTATTGACTATATATACACAAAATATAAGAATATTATCCGACTGTCATTATGAGGTACGACCTATGCCAGTAATATTAAATTTTTTATTTCAATTAAATCAAATCAATAAACCATTTGTTCATGTAATAGTACATTTTAGTTGCTTATGAACATATTTTTTTTTGTATTATAATTCTTCCTTACCGTCCAGTTCAGTATACAGATTCAATAGAGCAGAACTGGCAAGAAACTCGATTGTTTTTTTTTTAAAGCCTATTTATTTACTTTGTTCACTTATATAGGTGTCTATGTCTAACATTAAATGAAAATCCCGTGTTTGAACAACTATTGCCATGCACGCTCGTCGTTCAAGTAATCATTTAGCGAGTAATTTAATCAATATACACAAGTAGGTATAATTATACAAATTTTATAGGAAAAACGACTTTATTAATATTGGACATTGAGTCTTAACAAGAAACTGAACCTGTAAACCTTGACTTTGTATGTCAGCTCGTCACTGTTACTGCAACCTAGTCGAAACATCGAGAAAAAGAAAATTATTTCTGTTAACCCTTAATTCGACGGAGATTCTTGTAGCAAAAGAAATAGATTTTTTAGTAATCATATCTTTGGATATAAATAAAGTACAGGAAAAACGCTAAAAAAAATTAGTGCTGTACAGTTTTTGATAAAACACGTGTCCGTCACAGTCACAGTCACAGCGGACATTGTCACACGTATTTTTTTCAAAACTATATAGATAGATTTCTTTAAATTAGTTGTTCGTCACACTGTACACTATCGAATTAAGGGTTAATACCAGGCTAACTGCAGTGCGTCCCCTATGATCGATCCACCATCTAATTCAAAAGGGGATCGAAATTACCATGTCCTGATTTGATCCCCTAGCGGTGCCCACACTAAAGTCGTATCGGTCTGACAGGAGATGGTCTTCAGTCGTTCAACAAGTCCTTGCGCGGGTTTAGAGTGTTATCTACACTCGCCCCTATCATTCGGTGAAGCTGTAAAGGCCAGCAGCAAAACAGCATAGTTAAAAAAAAACCAGTTAACTACCTATATTAAGTATGCCCTTGTGATAATTATGTCAAAACTACTATGTCTGAAATACTAGCTGTGCCCGCCTGCGGTAAATTTCAACAAAAAAATATAGACTATATGTTATTCTAATGCATAAGCTATATAACTGTAAAGTTTCATCAAAATCCGTTCAGTAGTATTTGCGTAAAGGAGTAACAAACTTCCATACTTACAAACTTTCGCATTTATAATATATTAATAAGATTAAGACTTATCGAGACTACTACTTACTTGAACTACATGCTGAGGTTTTCTCTAGAGATTAGACCAAGGGTTTTTAAGAAGGGCATATTAAGGTTTCTTAAGGGCCGCCAACGCGCACGTGACTTCCTGGTACTATAGGCGCATAGGCTACAATAAGGCCTTTGATAGGTGGTATGTTAGATTACCACCATCGTGGTATAAAAAAAACTTACCTAACGTAACTATACGAGGTTTAAAATTTACAACACACACGATTTTAGATCTTAAAATGTTATTGATAGGTTCAAAAAATAAAAGATATTTTTTTTTAAGATCGTTGTATCTTCATTTAATTTAAATGTATTTATTGTGCACTAAAGTGTTATAAACAAACAAACAAACTATATCTTTTCATACAATTAGATACATCTCCTTACATGGAACATGTAAAATATCTCAAGGCAAGCGGGGGAATCACCTATTCTTTATTTATGAGTGCTGCTGGTCTGCTCTAATCACTATGACTGATTTCCTCTTATTAATTGTTTAACCAGCTGTTGCATATTCAATATTTTTTCTATTTGATTATTTAATTGAATTAGTGCTAATCGGTAGTTTGTATTCACACACTTAAACTTAAATTGTAAATTAAGAATAAAATTATTTAAAAGAGCAACAAACAAGTTTCTTGCTCTTTCATCTTGTGATGAGACAGCTTTCCGAATGAGCGGTAGATTAAAAAAAAATGTGATGACTATTCAAAAGTGCTTCGATGTAAGTTTATTTGAATAAATGATTTTCTATTCTATTCTATGATCGTCGACACCTTTTTTCTACTTGTGGAAAATCCGTCATGAAGGTCCGCCGATTCCTACTTCTAGAAACCTACCCGTGCCCTGGTCGAAACTTTGTATTAGGCGTAATCTATACATATAAATAAAATTGGAGTGTCTGTTTGTAATATTGAAATATCCGTTTTTTACTACATGCATATGAATATAAATTCGGTACCTACATACCTATACCAAAATATTTTTTTTTACAATTTTTGTCTATCTGTCTGTCTGCCTGTTTGTTCCGGCTAATCTCTGAAATGGCGGGACTTTTTTTGGATAGTATCTGATGTAATAAGGTGTAACTTAGACTACTTTTTATTTTAGAAAAATAAAGTTTAATTCCACAATGTATGATATATTAGAGATACCTACGTGTTTTTTTTATTGTTCACTAGTTGTACACGGGATTTCGTATTAAAATATATTTTTCTAAAAATCTATCTGATATAGGTATAAAATTCTAGTGTCGCAATATACTCCTCCTAAACGGCTGTATCGATTTTGATGAAATACTATATGTATTTTCCTTCCGAGAATAGACCGATATCTATTTTTTATAGCGATAAGGGTGGCCCTCCCCTAAAAAAATTATTTTAGGACCATATTTCTAATTTTATATTACTTGGCATTAATAATACTTATATTCCTAAATTTTCACCCTTCTATCACCAATCCTTGTTTTTTATAGTAATATTAGTATTTTATTATAATACATACACTTTTTAAAGTACGAAATATACTACGCCAGAGAAACACTACTTATGTTTAAACAACTGTGTAGCTTTACTTGAGTATTTTATATTTCCTG